TGGATTTTTCTCTTTTCCGATGGCAGAGAGATAGCATCCGTACGGACCCCCTTTACAATCAGCGTTTTTACGAGCCGGGCGATCCACAATGCAACCGGTTGTTGCGACGATAAAACGCAGCCGAACGACGGATCGCAACATTTTACTGCTGTCGACGGCGGCCCAATTAGGATCAATTTAACTGCGCGCGGAGAGTTTCTTTCTGGTTGCGAAGTCGCGCCGCTTTTAAAAACGCCGGCGAAACGAATCGGTAAAGCCGATCGATTTACTTTGCTCGGGCCCCGCCGCAAAATATCGACACCAGATTTCGTACTTCGCGGCGCGCGTGACGCGTGCGATCAAGAACGTACCGAGGCACAGGTTCGTTTAAGTCGAATCTACAGAGAAATTCCGTAAATTTCGGATACACCACACAGAGAAGGTTTCTTTAGATTTAGTATATGTGTTTGCTTGACTTGGATTCGTTAATATAAATAACAGAATTTAATATTATCATTTTATTTAAATGAAAATGTAAAATAAACTATGTTATTTAAGATATTTATAAAACAAGCACTATTATTTTGAGGAAATAATATTGAGTTTTCAATAAAAAATTTATTTCATTGTATATTAAATATATAACAAAGAAGATCTTTAATATTTTTCTGATATAATGTTACTTCTTTCCAATAATTTATTATTTGTAACAACCGTTATAATCTTTGCATGAAAGTATAAAAGATGTCATTTGACGTATAAATATTTATTGTTTGAGAAACCAAATAATCCTGTTTGTTGAATGAAACATTCGTTTGTTTGTTCCATTTCAAAAGACAAATTTGCTTCAATTCAAGAGAAATGTTATTAAACCCAAAGAAAAATCTCTTTCTCTGTGTAGGAATACATTCGAGCTATCTCAGGATCGGCGAGGGGGGGGGGGGCGCGCGCGCGTACAATATTATCGGAAACCGAAGAATCGATTTCGGCGTCGGAATCGCGCGCCCGCAACGGCGAGCTCGCGATTTTGAGTAGTTTAGATTTCCAGAGTGAATTCCACCGCCAGCCGTTGCCAGCCTTTTTACCGTTCTCCTACTCGCGAAAGAAGCTCTTGTGAATACAATCGGCCGTATGCCGCGCGCCGTTTACCGCTCATGAAGAGGACGAAAGTTTTTGTCTGGTGACTGGTTCACCTCGCTGCTTAAAGCGCGATTAACACAATTTTCCACGAAAATATCGTTGTCTCTCTCACTGCCCTCGTGACCGCCGTTAACGCTGCCGATCGAATTAACGAATGACACGGTCGCTATCGACAACATCGGAATAACGCAGAAATTGTGCGAACGTGTGTCTAGTATTTTAGTGCGAGAGTGAGATACAGAGAAGCGCGTTCCTCCGCTGCGAATGAATCATCCGGAGAGTGACGGCCAGGAGCCGCGAGGAACGACTCCCGCGAATTTCGCGCCGCGACGCGTCGAACGGAGCGCCGAAAATCACGGTGGTGGCGGCGGTGCAGAGCTGCGTGCGCGAGTGCGTCGGTGCACCCCGAATTAACGTACCCTCCTCTCTCGCACTCTCTTGCGTCACTCGAGACGGCGTGCGTTCGCCGTCACGCGGAACGTGCCGAAGAGACGCGCGAAGGAAACGGTTTGGAACTGGTTCACCGAAGTCGGCCGTTCCCGGCCGCGTGCGACGAACAATACGAACTTCTGTAGGGGAGAAGGACGAGCGAGCGGGGGAGGAAGAGAAGGAGCAGGGGGGAGGGAAAGAAGGAGGAGGAAGAGAAGGAAAGAGAGAGAGAGAGAGAGAGAGACGAGATGGCGAAGTCGCGCGGTGCACGTGAAAGGCGATTTAAAGGGAAAAAGGAGGAGGTGGCCGATAAAAAAGGAACGCACGGCGGTGGCGGCAAATGAGAGACGGAGAGAGCATGAGCGATGGGAGGAGGGGGAGGAGGAAGGAGCATGGCGAACCGGTCGCAGCCTCCGCTCGTCAGCTGGAAGCTCAGCTGCAGCCGGGCGCGGTGACCTCGACGGTGCAGCGCGCGCGGCGCTTCACGGAAAAGCGAGTCGATTCGCGAGCGATAACGGTGCCACGACAGAGTCGTTCTCGTTGCCGTTTGCCCGCGTAATCCTTCCCCTTCGGCCGTGGCTTCCGCCGAGGACTCTCCACCGAGGGGTTTTCTCGACACCGAGCGCTCTCGCGCGTCGGATGTAGGATAGTAACGTGTTTACACCGCGCAATCGTTGGGCGATATCGTGCAAGATCAGCTGGGAAGGGGGGTGGGGNGGGGGGGAGAGAGAGAGAGAAATCGCGGCCCGCATGCTGATTGGCATCGCGTCGCGTTCTTATCAAGTTGCACCGTTACACGGCTATAAATGTAACACATCGTGGCGCGGCAATGAAAGAGTCGCGCGATGATTTGTACGAACGACTGCAGCTTAACGCGACTTTCTAATCCCCAACGTGGCTTTGTAAATTAAGCCGCGAATTAAAATCGTATTAAGTAAAAGTTGCCCGAAAGAGTAAGTAAGGAGTATGATTTCGTTATCCTCGCGCGAGCAGCGTACCTTACTTTGAATTGCTAATTTCTCGAAAACTATTGGCCCTTGGGTATTTCCTGTCCTCATCGGGGACGAATGAATTCCAAATTAATCCCCCCCCTTCACCCAAAAAAAACTGCCGTTGAACGTTGATGCGAGGTACTCTGTATAATTAACTTGTATATACATACACACATACACACACACATACACACACACACACGAACCTCCGAAATGATCGACAAAATTACACGCCGCGCAACCCGCGTCGTCTCCAGATTAGATCGTTTACTTTTTACCCCCCGGAGGAGGTATAATTTCGTCGTATCGTTCGTATCCGTTATGTTTATCCTGTACACAGTTTCAACGCGTAAAAGTCCTTTAATGGATGAAACACCGCGCGAGGAGCGCGTGTGCGGATTAAACTTTGTAATAAGGGTTACGGAATTAAATTCGCGCGACGTATATTACTGGCCCCGTCAATGTCCCTCAAGAGTAACATAAAGACGAGCTGCGTCAAGATGAATAATATCGCATGGGATTACTTTCAGACAGGATCCTTGGAATTATTTCGGCCTATTTTCAGAGACTCATAATGAGATTTCACGATTACACGCGCTGCGAAATTCAAGTAGACGCGACAAATATATACCGATTTGAATTTTACAAAATCCGTAAATAAAAAAGAAGATATTTCATATTAATCTTTAAAAGTGTCTCGTTCAGTATACTCAACATAGAGAACGACAATGTATCTTCGCAAGTACAGCTTGAAGGATTTTTCATTTCGGCAATATCGATCATGAAGACATATAATCGGATATAGATTATCGGTAAAGGAACAAAATGATTTCTTTTGGTATCAAAAATCTCCCTGTATACTTCACATATGAGAATTTTAGGACCCCCTGCATACAGGAATCAATTGTAAAATACCATGCCAACTGATATCAACGATTCAATCGTTTTCTTTTTTCAATTATTTGAAGAAGCTATCACTTTTTTTCGATATCACTGTGGCTTCTTAATTGAAGCTTGCATACGCGAAGCAAAAAAGTTACATTGCCAACGCTACGCGTGAAAGGCGATTTCCCTGTCGAAATAATTACCCCGTTTCAATCGGTCGCTATGCGAAGTGACGTCGACAGTGCGCGTCGTCGGTGTACGCTTCTACGTCCGGGGTCAGCATCGCGGGAGTCGACGCTGCGCGTCGCGATGCCGCGAGAGAGTCTCACGAGGTGAAACCGACGGTGCGCGAAGCGTCACGTACGCGTACGAGAGGACGAGAGAAGCCGCTTCTGCCGCTGACAAGACCATAAAAGATGTACAAGAGAGCTCGGAATGACGGATCTAATTTTTCCTTTTTTTTCAGCCGCTCAAGACGGCGCAAATGATCGCAAAGATGTCAAACTAGAATCTTCAAATCCCTACGAAACTCTCGCGTCACGCGATGCTAATAAATCGAAGTAAAAACGAAACATCTGTCGTAGACGCGTCTATTCGAGTGAACGTGAACGAGTTTAAAAGGACTAGTCTCTGAATGGTCAATATCACGTAAATTCTAGGTCATGTTTTAGATTGAATATTTATATGTCCGATCGAGTTTCAACAATCAGGTAACGATCAGGAAATAGAATGATCAGTCGCGACGATAATAATCGCATAAGCATTCGCAACGCGGAATATGAATAATTAATAATAACGTGGAGAAGGAAAGAGGGGAAAGAGAGAGGATGATAACAGTCACTCCGGTGTACGATTCTAAATGTCACGGAACGTATTTTGGATTTTACAGACGCGAAAAAAAAAGCGAGCGCAATTTCTGCAACGATAATCTCGAGAACAAAGAAATGACGTATCCGCGAAGGACAAAATGACACTTTCGCGATAGTTTCGACGGAAACGGCTACACCTCGAGTAAACAGCGGGCGAATGTTGTCACAGCTCCCCGGGTCAAACGCGCGTTGTGCGAGTCGATTCGTTGGAAAGTACCTTCGATTCCGCCGAGAGACCTCGGTTTCAACGCTAACCCCGGTTAACCGTACGCCTCCTCTCCCCCTCCGAGAGCACGAGCAGAGAGCCGACAGGCTCGATTAGCGCTAATCAAGCGGCCTTTAACGAAATTTTGCCTTCTCGTACGAATTCGAGCTAGTCGCGAGCGATCCCGGGATTAATCAGTCGGGATTGTCACTGTCAGCGGCGAAGCGTGACGATCATGAAGCAAACCGCTGCATCGCGTGGTCGAAGGGACCGACTCCGAAGGCAGCAAACCGGTCGGTCGGTGCATCAGCTGAGAGCCCAGCTGAACCCAGAGAGCGGCCGCCGTAATAACCTCAACCTGCCACCCTCCGTCCCGGGTCCCCTCGCGCTCTCCGTCTCGCTCGGTCTCTCGCGCGCGCTCGCTCACTCACTCACGCACCCGCGGCGAATTTCGCGAAAGCGAGCGACGATCGGCGCTCGACGACCGGCTGATCACGGTACCTGGTGTGTCCGGTGACGACGTCCCGGCGACGGTGTCAGCGGAGACTCGCCGACGGGTCCGGAACTTTTTGAAAGCCCACTCGCAATGGAATCTTCCAGTAGACTGGCCGAGCCGGCGACAGCGGCGACGAGCCGTTCTCCCTTGCGTGCGCACCCACCGTGCGGCCGCGGCTCTTTTTCGCGTTGAATCGCGCGCGAAACGATCGCCCGGTTAGGACGGGACTTAGCCGGGGGACCTGCCGGACGGAAACGTCGCGCTATTTCACACCGGCCGGCCGCGGTACGTCTGTACGCAGCAGAAACACAACGGGACGCCCGCGGTTACCGCCGCTGCTGACAGTTCACGAGCTGTCACTCCGCGGCAGACTGTCTCGCGCGCCTCGCTGCCGCCATCTGCTGTGCCCGGCGGGAAACCGAGCTGGGTTCGAAACGTTCCACTGGCGGCGGCGGCAGCGCTCGCGGACCACCTAGCAACAAGATCAATAGCCTAACTTATCGCGCACCAAGCGGTACCTAGGTACCCGCATAGCGAAGCGTTATCCCTTTTATTATCGAGGATTGAGACCGACGTTATATATCGTTATAGTCAGATCCCGATGATGCGCCGATACACGCGAGAATAACCTCTGTCGCCGCCGAAATGCTGTCGAAGATGTCGATGACGCCTTGCGAGAGTTTGCGCGCGAGATCGCAATGTGAAAAATATCGTAAAATTAATACTGTGTTATAGACTAATGGCGGAAATATTTCGAGCGGGTGGCGTGTTTTCGAAACAGTCGGTAACGTACTCTCCGATTATCGTCAGGGGCCCCGGGGCCTCATGGGTAACGGCCAAACTTTACTGGTCACTTTAATGGCCGACGATCTCCAGCAGACTCTTGCTGACGCTAATTAACGATTCGATCCAGTCGGAGTTCGACGCATTACCTGCACGCTAATGCGAACAAAGACTTACCGAGGCACGCCGGATGTCGAGCATCGGTTTCGTCGGATTGAGGCGAATGCGTTTGCTTCGTTTCACTCGTGCGACTCCATCTTTCCAATGGGACGCGAGGAACATCGGTTGGGAATATCGTGCGACGTCGGGTTTAATCGCACTGCCGCGGACCGATTAACACGCGAAAACGATCACCCGTCACTGAATTCGATTGAACTCCCACTCGTTGGCACGCGGCATTCACTTGGAACCGGTGAAAAGACACCGCGAACACGGAGCGGTCACGATCGCGTTCGAACCCGCGCGTAACGACGCGAAACTGCCGCGGATTGGCACGTCACGTGATCTCCTATAATTTAAACAAGGCGGATTTTCGAACGACTGTTCAAATAGTCACGGCGTTAAAATCAAACGACGTTTATCGCATTACGTGTAATTGGATTCGCGCGGCTGTTATTATCTTAGGGATATTGCGTAATATCCTAATCAACACTCAGTGTTATGTAACATTTGCATTGTTGAGTGCGAAATTATATTATTATTATTATTATATTATTATTCTATATCTTTTTCAATTGAGACGATAAATCTGAACTTAATAATATTAAGCAAGTAAAAATAATATAAAGACTTGAAATTTCTTAGATTATTAGGTATTTTTTGTATTCTTAAAAATTTATTAAACGCATTATTGCTGGCTTTGAAATACCGGTAAAACTCATTTTGTATCTAATATTGAAAATAAATTTTTGAAGCAAAATATTTTCGAATATTTGAATTGTTACTGATTATTAATCAATAATGTATCAATCGGTTTTTTTTTCAAAGTTTAATATACTAACTACGTAAATAAAATCTTATTAAAATAACTCATTGTTTTACTAATCTTTTATTATAACAATTGACTTTCTCTCGTACAAAATAGAACGTCCCCAACGTTTACAACACGCAACAACTTCTTACTTCGCAAATGCACATGTATCCATTGACAAGTTCATTCAATAAATATTTTACTTTGTATTTTGCTCCCTCAGTAATCCATTTCGCAACTCTTCCTCGCCTTTAACGAAAGTGTATTTAATTTCCTAAAATAGCACACGCATACGCGTTTTCTATGCCAGTTCGACCGGTATCTTTTGACGTTTCCATGTCATCGCAGGGCCAATATAAACGCATTTTGATGTAAGTTTTTAAAACGTTTAAACTCATTTTAGTCGAAACTTATGTAATGAATCGCAACTTAACGCGGATGTAATCGCGTACATCAATACTTAATATTCAGAGGTACTGACGACAAACTACAACGTTAATGAATTAGGATATGCTGCAGAATATTTCTATGACTATCGTGGACTTGCATGGTGTGCCTCGATAACAAGGACTGCGACAATAAGATTCTCCTAGTGTGTTCGTTGTTATTGTAGTCGTTTCTTAAGCCTTTGCGCGATAGCAGCCACGAACGCAGCGCCTTTGCCGCTTCCATCTTCCGCGTGAATTAATTTAAACTGCGTGATCAAAATAAATATATTATTACACTGTAGAAAGTAGCGCATATACATAATATTCACGTCGATGAATAAAAAAACATTATGCATACAGAAAACGAAAGATATAGTATAAGAAGAATAAAAAAAATATATTCAAGATCCTTTGAAGAACAGAGCTTCACGAAGAATCGAATATTTTATTCTTTGAACCTTCTATCTAAGTAACGCGTTTTACCGAAGCAAAAGCAATTTTGCGATTCAATTGACGTTCACTTTACACACCTTTCGTCCAGGGGAAGTGAGAAGTGAGATGTATCGTTTTATCCAGCCCTCTAACCGAGGATGATGCTTATAGAGAGATCCGTCCACAGCGATCGTTACTTGTTCCTTATCGATACGATCCAGCAGAGTCGCGAGACCTTTGACATAAATCATCGGTGAAATTAAAACGAGCGCTCTCACTTCGACTGCTTCGTTTAAGTGTTTTGTTAACGTACATATCGACACCAGAAGAGCCGCGCGGTTGGAAGCGACCTCACACACGTATTGAACAATTTTGATGTCGTTTTCATCCGGAACAATGCCAAATTTACCGAGAACCTCCTTCGTGTTGCCGTTATTACCGTTTACTGAATCCCTGAACAAAGCGACGAAACAAAATGAACTCTTTATGCGAATCTTTCGCGAATAGCGATTTTAAATGGACTTACTCCTCGATGTGTGACACCAGATCGGTGGTAAGATTGCCAGGCGTTAGCAGACTGTGTAATGCATTTTCTTCTACAAACAAAAGCCCCTCTTTGGTCAACTTCACAAGTATCACACGCACCACTTCACCGAGATATTTGCCAGCAATGTACTTTTCAAATCTAAGGAAAGAAGTCAACGATGTCAAAGACGGATCCTTTTAAATACAGATCGATACACCTTAGGGAATAGTCGCGTCGCAATTCGTCTGGGCACTTTTCTAAACTTCTTGAATTATAGATCACATGTTATTTAACGTTAAAAGACAATTTTATTTAATATAATCATTCTTCATGTCAACTATTTCGTAATGAAAACAATGTGCTATTTGAAATTTTCAATTTTGCTGCACACATAAGTGAGTCGATATAAAGGTGAATTAATTAAAGTATAATATTATCAAAAATAATATCTTTTTTATCATACACAAGCGGAATAATTACGACGTAATTACGAATAGTTCGATGCCACAGATAACGTACGACGAGTTTGTTCACTTACGTGAATGAATTCACGATAAGGGAATTGGCGTCGTTCTCGCGATCGAAATCCGTCTTGATGAAATCCAAAACACCGTTATCTCCGAAGGCGCCCCATTCGATATCGATGATGACCTTGAGTGACAAAAATCGGATCGATAATTCGAAAATGTTTCTCATCGTTTGCATGCGTCACAAATGGTTTTGACTTACTTCTCTCTCGCCGTGTCTCTCGGGTTCCCAGTGCTTAACCCGATCGGCTTGTTCCAAGTAGCAGGCGTTGCTGCCGGTTCCAAGTATAAGTCCGATAGCCGTTTCGTGGTCCAACGTCGAGCCCTGCACCAGAGTACCCGTGGTGTCGTTCAATACCGCGACGACCTTCACCTTCGTGTCGCCTCGCCGGTCCAGAGCCTCTCTCAGGAGCCTCACCACGTCTTTGTTGACAGCGTCAGGACAATTAAAAGTCTTGGTCCATGTCACCAAAACACCAACGTCCAGGGAATGTTGGATTATCGGGAACGAGAATGTGAAACCTGCGGCGCGAAGCGGAGATTATCAAGATTACAGAAATCGCGGAAATTATCAGACAAATACTGCATTGATAAATGCGACGACAAAGCTAATTATTCGCAAAATAATTATCTTATGTTACACAATATTGTCTACAAATAAAAGCGTTTGCTATTTATAGATGATGACATGACGGCGCGCGATAATTAAAGGTTCTGCGAGACGCTCGATATCCCTTGACACGCCGTAAATACGGAGTTCAATTTACCGAGTGGAAGCTCTATGTCCTGAAGCCCCTGAGCGGTGACGAAATCACTGACACACTCGGCCAGATAGTCAAACAGAGGAATGGCCGAACCGACCTTTAACTCGGCCCCGATGGAATATCGCTTTACTTCCTGTCGAATAGGTGCACCGTGAGCCAACTCCAGCAGGAGTACCCGGAAGTTGGTGCCACCGAGATCGAGTGCCAGATAGAGACCTTCCTCTGCAAATACTCAATAATCAGACTAATCATTGAATTAATCAGGAGCTTTAACGTCGATATCATGATATTTTGGTCGCGTATCTCGTCATCGAACTAAAGGGCCGTCTACAATAACCGTAAAAGATACAATAAGATATAAGCAACAAATTAATTGACCAACTACAATCGATTATTCTTAAGAATCCAATTGGTTAATTAGCTTACTCCTTATATCTTATCGCATATTTTACGTTTATTAAACGGTTTATCAAGATGTCGATAAATTCGACGTTTCTTTGCAGATATAACATTTGACCGAGTAAAGATGCAAGTATCAGTAGTTAGAGCAATCTACGTCAGAGAGAGATAGCAACGCTATCATTATGGGATTAAGCACAGAAACTGCAGTAACAACCTGTTCCATCGAGCAGTTCCGGCACGTAAGTGTTTTCCATTTGCAACGAGGACGGTTGCTGGTGAATTCCCTTGTTCATTTGCGAAATGAAAACGTCTTGTATCCTCCTGACCGTCGCCGCGGAAAACCGCATCTTTTCCATGTGATTATCGATCTGCAAAGAGAGCTCCTTTCCTTGAAACTACCCGTTGCATGTCGCGTTGACGTAATCTTTACAGCATTCTCGTCATCCCGGAAAAAAAAAAACTTTCCACAATCCATAAATCTTGCCGGCACCTCGGCAAACATATCAGCGGCTTCAAACACATTATTGTTTACAGTCGTCGAGTATTGTGCGCAAGATTCTAACTAGGTAGATTAGAGAAAAACTCATGCCATCGAGTGGAATATATAACGAGATACATGCTGGATTAATTATATAACATTATCTAACATAAATAATTATATAACAATTATCTAACATAATAAGCGAAATTAACACGCACACGATCGATTACATTTAATCAATTCTTGTTGAGTGAACTTATAATACTGACTTGATGACGAGATTTGCATCAAATGACTCTTACCATACGACTTTGTTTTAACACTGGAGGTATACTTTTTTTTTGCATAGTCGAGAATATGTTTCATGATTATGAATATGGAGAAAAAATTATTGATAATGTGAATACTATGTGCAGACCGGACGATTGATCAATTTTCTGCTCTTTCGATAGGTTGCGGACGGATTCGTGCTATCTACGGTGATAAACTGTTCACATGGCTTGAACTTTTATAACAACGAGTATTACCACACGATAACCCTGTGACTTAGAAAGCAAGATAAATTAATGATTTATAACTGTCTCGTGGCGGAAACTACGATAACCTCAAAATCCAACTTGAACCACTTTGATCCCCATGCTTTTCGATGCGAGTCGCATGTAGTAATGCCTCGTAATGCTCGACGCATATAAACAAGATTATACGAACGACAGTTTATTGAACGACATACGTGTGAGTAGTTCAAAGATTCGTTTTTTACAGATTTTTAAATCTCATATTTTAGATTCGTACAATTACTGTAAAAAAAATCAAAGCAAATTATCGATACGTATTATTTAGAAATTGTCAAATTTATTACCGCATTACTACTAGCATAATCCAACGTCCAAGATAATATCCATCGTAAAATAAATTCGTAATCTTTATACGTTACGCAAATATTACGTAATAATGTTTCGCAATTTACAGATACCGACAGTAAGATGTATTGGATTTTTTTCATTCTCGAAAAGCTACTTTGACGCAAAAATGCTTTATTACGCGATACGCGGGCACGCGTAGTGTGATTAGAATAATCGAAGCGAGCAAGTACCTACACACAATCGTCTCGTGTCACTAAACTCTCAACTAGTATGTCTCAAGGTTAAGGACTTGGCTCGCTCTGCCACTTGTGTGTGATTCAGAACCGGTATACCATAATTGAACAATCGTTTCGTTTCTTTATCGAAATTGCGTGAGAAACCTGCGAGTTCATTAAACTTTTGTTATTACGAAGTAAGAAGCGCAGCCTAGAGAGGCTCTTATACACATTACATTTATAAATATTCCACATATTAAAGAAAAATACTTGTAAATAGTTCCACATTTTTCCTATTTTCCGAGCCAAGTTAAATTAAATGTATCGAACGTATAATTCACTGTATTCAGAATAGTTCCATCGTGAGAGATTACGATATAATATCAGCTTTCCTCTAACTTCGTCGTACGTCGGAAGAGCAGAAGTTCAGGGTGAGAGATTCATAAAATTAAATGTCGCAGATAAAATGTCCGTACGTAATCTATAATGTAAGTGCTAAAAGCAAAATATCGGTTAGAAAATTGAAGCAAACATTGTACTCACTTTTTGTCGTCTGACATCGTCGGAAAGTATCAATGGCGCAACTTGAATTGCTTCATGCAGTTCATGGTCTGTAGGCACGACCATGTCGGAAAGATTTTGGAGATCTGGAAAAGAAACGAAATATCCAAAAATTTTTCATAGAAATATGTTCTATTTAATGCACGATTCGAGTTCGACATCACTACGCGTGTCAAACCTTCATTTCATAATTTATTTTAGTCTTTTCTTCCCCCTCCCCCCCTCTCCAACACTCTATTCTTCATTCTGTTATAGTCACTTATAGAATTTTGTCAAAGATAAAGTTGTGTGAAAGACATATGTTCGTGTGACGAGAGACACAATTATAATCTGCTGGATATTTTCTAGTATCAACGTCAAATCTTTCTTTTTAATTCTCTCAAGAAAAAAGAGAACAGTAAATATAACAGTGAAAACCATAAAATTCTTCAACCTTTAATTCCATCATCCATTGTAAACATGCGATGCTCTCATTCGGTACGAATTAATAAAATCATCCAGCTCGTGATAATTAATTACGATCGTTTCTCCCACTTCGAAATTAACGTTAAGAATGACGACTGGAGAAAAGTCCACAATTTCAGATATCGTGGTTCATTGTTGCTCATTAATCGTGCAATACTAGAGTTGTAACATATCTCTAGGTATGACCATAAATCAGATAATATTTTCGACAAATCGGAAAACCGAAGAAGTGGACTACAAATTGTATAAAAAAATTGATGTCGACTAATATTCTGTGCAAACTTGGTATCGCTAAATTCTAAATAAAAATTATGAATTGTGAAGAAAGAGTATGAAATATATATTTATATGGTAAAATAGTAATAAGTAACAATAAATAAGTCACGTTAAGAAGTCAAATTAGAAAAGAAGAAAAAGTAGAAAAGCTGATCAAAGATATCTTTTATACTGTTTCTTTTAAGGCTTGTTGTTAGCTTTTTATGTGTCGAGTAGTCGTAAAAAATCTAATTGTAAAAAGAAAACATAGAATTAACATTCCAGTAAACACCAATTAACAATAACGTAACATCAATGTTATAATTTCTTATTCAACAATGTAACTATTACAATAGTAATAACGCACGCGTTATGTTGCATTTATATTGTTGAGTGGGAAATTATTATATTATATAAATTATAACATTGATGTCATGCTACTGTTAGTTGGTGTTTACTGGGATGTAATAAATGTTGTTCTACCATTAAAATAATCTAATCTAATTTTTAACCGGCTAATCGATAACGTTTCTAATGGGACTTGATTAATCATTCAAATAGACGCTAATTCAGTCGCAAGTGTTTGATTATCGATCGATATATAGTGTCGCTAGCGCCAGGCAGCGAATCTACGTTATAGATAACATCTTACAACTCCTTTATCGCCAATCATTTACATGTCTACGTAACAACGAGACGATGAAAGTCGAACCAGTCGAGCTTGATTGGTTGGTTGAGATATCTTGCCTCTCGCATATGCTATCGTTACGCATAATTTTTCTCATTTCCATACTTGTTTCGCGCGCGGTTCCTCCAGTCTTATTTTTAAGGTATTCGGAGAATTTTGCTCTCACCATTCAGTTTTTATGCTGAACATAAATGTAGTTTCGAATGCATCGTGCACTCATCTAAACGTACTGCAACACTGCAATGTGTTGCTACAATCAAGCACACGCGAATTTTAATCAACCACACGGAAAAAAGAATTAGCTTCCACAACTAGAAACCAGCTGTCCATACGATACAAATGAAATTTAATTACCAGACTTGGTTGTGAAAGCTAATTCTTGTGACTATAGTCGTAGATAGAAAAAAAGAATTAGTTCCCACAACTAAACACTAAGTCTGATAATTAAATTTCAGTTGTATTATATGAACAGCTAGTTTTTAGCTGTGAGATCTCATTTTTTTTGTCCGTGTAATCGTCTGAATAAAACGAACGGATGATTAATATCTAAAGAACAATTTCCTTTCATTTAGTTTCAGACAAGAATTCGATATGAAAAATACTGGCAGCCTTATCTTAAAACCAGTTATCTAATACAAAGTATATTATTATTAGACGGCTATACACGTCGATATAATACGTCATGTATGATCCGATGAAGTCCGATCTATGAAAAATCGCATTGATTTTTCCTTGTAACGTACGAAATATGATTAAGCCGTTGTATCCTTTTCGTGGGTTCTGCAGATCATTTTCGCAGTGAAACCAAAGTTCTAAATCACGACGCGCGTCGGGTCAGGTGGATTGATGACGAGAAACTGCGAAAAGAGATCAGAATCGTTCTTTCCCGAGCTGTCGGCAAATGAAGCTCCATTGAAATCAATTGGAAGGTGCAAAACGTCAACCGAGATCATTCAGCCAGTTGACCCGCCGTGACGATTCTAATCCAGAGAGTGCAACACGCACACTCGTCACTTCCTCGACATGTCGGGAACAGCACTTCGCAGGCTTCTTCCTCCGTGACGGATAAAGATCCTCCGACTGGCGCGTAAAACAATGCCGTATCTTCTACCATCATTGGCCATCCATCCTTCATTTATCACACTCTGCACCCATCAGCGCATCAGCGATTAATGAATCTGACGTAAGCGTAACGCTGTCCGCGCCGCGGGATTGACGGGGCCGCGAGGATCCCGAACGATTCAGCGGACAGCTTAATTGGCATTAAATGGCACGCGAATCATTTTATAGTCTAGTGCGAACCCTTTTGTTCAAGTTGAAATTAATCGCGGAAATTGAACGAAAGCAACGCGTGCGTAGCGTATGATTTGTTTCCGTGGTAGAAGCACTGCGTATACTTGAGTTCAGTCGAAGTTCTGGTCTCTTAAATGCTAGACGCACATCATATGACATTTTTCAAAGAGGCGCACTTCGGTTATCTAATCGAATGTGCTTCACCAAAGAACGTAATTTGAGGAGAAATATCGGTAACTTTGGCACTGTGTGGCGACTCGATGTGATTTAACGAGGCGTCGAAATATCTTGGTGAACAATCTTACATCAATTACGTTATGTATTTCGAAATTCTTATACAACACGTTAACGTGACACGCGATAAAACCATGGATTTTCCGTGGCTGAGAATACGAAGTCTCTGGCGCATTATGCGCGACGCAACATTCACGCTATCAATTGAGGACTTTTACATATCCGCAGAGATCTGCATGCGTTCACTATTTTGCGCGAATTCACTTGCGTCTCTCGCGAATACGCGACATCGCCGGAATTACATTAAGCGACAAAGTGTGATTTTTTTTTTACGCAGGATGCGGGCAGCGAATTTGTCAGATGTAAACTTTCAAATCCGGTTTTTTGAATTGGAACGGTCAAAAATGTAGTTGGAACTTTTACCATCGATATGTAAACATTTGTATGCATGGATAGACTTTTAAGGCTGTATAAATATAAACATGGAAAAAAGTATCAGTTCTGCGTAACCGAATAGGGACCAAACGAAAACTCAGTAACGAGAAAACGATATTCCCGTTACTACGACTGAAAATATTCGTCTGAACTCTCGGCTGTTTTAAAACTCGGTTGAGATAAGTGAGAACTGACCGGATAGGAATCTCGTCTATAGGAATTCCTACATTCCTACTGTCGGGTTTTCGTCTCAAATAACAAGGGATCAGTTACACGAACAAAGTTTCCCTTCTTTATACTGAAAAGTCCTGCTTATGTCGAAGTTCAAGTAATCACTTTCACATAGTAAAATATTAATATCACGATATAATTTCGTGAGGATTTTTACGGCAGTAAAAGTCTCCAAGGTCGTCCAATTCAAACGCACTACTCTAATCTGAGTGATATCAATGAATAGCTCCTCGAGATTTGCGACGATAGATAACTAAAAATTAATTCGCAATCTGAATCTCGCGATTTCAGGAGCGGAGTTCAATTATCACCATGGGAACATTTAGTTCCGATAAAAAAAAAGAAAAGGCAGAGAAGGCGGTAATTTAATAGGTATCGGGAGATTCTGTTTCATTCGGCTAATTTTCACGGTAGCGAAACGTTTCTATCCATATTGAACAAAGGATTTGGTAATAAATGCTAAAACTTGGTTATTGGAAATTTGAAATATTTGCAGGACAAATATTTGATTACTGCGACCGAGTAGTTTAATTCCGTATACTGTATATACAGTAGTGTAATTTCGTATATTGTATATTTAGTATATGTAACTAAATTATTTAGTTGCGATAATTAAATATTTAGTCGGCAAATATTCACCAAGTTTTATTACTTATTACCAAATTCTTCTTTTTATGTTCGATTGTAATCGGCATGCCTCGCAACGTACTGTTTACTACGGTGTAATGTAATATTTCAAGGACTCGTGTGTGAGCAAAGTAAACATCAGAAGTGATTCTCAGTACTCGCAATCTGATATTTTAGTCACGACGATGCTTCATTTCATTGACAAATTAGCACGATACAGTGCAATCGGATTCAGTCGAAAAATTCGCACTGATCGCACTAAATCGCGACAAATACTTCGAGAATAATCCGAATGTGCGCGTCTCATTAGAAATCACCGCATATCCTTGAAACTGTCACGATTTATCGGCAAAAAGATGTCATTTCTACCGATTTCTAGTATAGTTAACCTCCGTTTAATTTTCATATTTGCTATCTTGTCCATTTTCCAAAACAAGTGTAAGTGGAGAAGTGCTTACTCTTCAACGTAGCGATTAAAATTAAAATAGAATTTGCGACGATGTATACAGAAAAAACTCGGTTCGTGTATTTGATTTTCTGTTATCTGGGAACTAAACAAAAACTTGGTTGTAGAAACAGAAAAAAATTCCTGCGGGAGGTTTCTATTCAGTCAATTATTGTCAGTTATTTCAATCGTGTTTTAAAACAGCGGAATGTCAAGACAAATATGTTCGTTCATAGTAACAGAGATTCTCATCCCTGAGTTTTTTTTGAGGAAGTGATAGGAATCAAAAGGCAAAAAAAAAAGTTCACACGGTCTCATTCATTATACTCAAGGCATTAGATCTATAGATCGCGTGTTATTCCGTTTGAAATGCAGAATAGGAACGTAACTAAGGATAAGCATAAAAAAGGTAAACGATATGTGATTCCGAAAATGTAGACAACTCATCAAAATTTCTCTCTTTTTTATAATATATATCGTAAGATTTTATTTTATTATTCGTTGAAATAAAGAATGGATTATTTTGATATACACACCTAGGTTAGGTTCATATGCTTTAATATGAATTAACAATGAATTATTAGAATATGTTTACTTCATACACGCATTTGACCAAAAGTGAAATTTTTCGAAATCTCTCTGATATCTTCGACCGATAATAATGGTTGAAAAATCGCAAATACGCTACTGGCTGTCGTGATCCGCGAGTATCGACAGGTGGATGGTCCAGGTCGCGAAACTGGAGCGTGCTTAACGGAGACGGATTGCGCATCCCTCGTGATACGGTACCTGATTTTACGCGCTTCCGCTTCTGTGGATCTCTGCCGGCTCAGTCTCCTGATTGCAGGATCGTGAGATGCTGCCTCTTGTTCTCCGTGATCTGACTGTCTCCTCGCGGCGAAGCAGGCGCACATACACACATGTGGGCGGAAGAACTCGAAGTGTACTCGCGACCGCCAGGCAGCGACTGGTCGAGCCTCCGATCGGCTCCCCGCGTATCCCACCGACGAGCGAAATGCAGACTCGCGACGTTCATCCGCCACCGCTGGTAGACCGCACACGCGCATATTCCAGCTGTGTGTAAACGAATAATCACGCGCGGATATACGCGAGTAAACATAAAACTATGTTTATGACGTGCTGGTGATACTTGTACAAAGTGAATCGTACGACTCTCGTACGACTGACGACAGATTCTCCGGCGAATTCGGAGTTGATTTTTACTGAGCGAAAACGAAGAGGAGGCATTATTTTTGATCCTTTCTACAACAGTATGGATAAAAACAGTATGGATAAAAACAGATACGGTTCCACTTAAAAAAGTCAAGGTGATCTTGATCTTTCTACAAAAAAAAAAAGGAACGATTTAGACACTTTTATTGTTGCATCTTATCGCCTTTTACAATCTGATTAATTGTATCTAGGACGTTTCTCTGTCTTAATATTGTAACTGATAACAAAATCGTAGGTATTGTTACAATAACTACCTTATATATAAGGTAGAAGTTTTGAAAATAATTAGAAGTTGTGATAAGTCTCCATCAGCATTTTCGCCAAAGTAAAATCAATGAATCAATCAAATAAACGGGAGAAAGTGCCTGCATAATTTGGCGACTTATTTTAGAATTATTTTAGGCTACAAAACCCAGAGATCTTTTTAGTATACTGCGAAACCTGGTGTACAGTAAAATGATGAGAATCCATTCATACGAGTTTATTAATACATCGATATTACCACGTCACGACGACGTATTATCGGGCACGTTTATGTTCGCACGTGGCTTACGCATCCGCATTACGCGTGGCTATCGGTAGTCACGCTGATCCATTCATTCTCAACTTATGAACTCATGCATTCACGCATCCACGTATCCACGCATACATGTATGACGTTACGTAACCGTTAACAAAATACATCGGTGTACAAATCCACACATACATAAATCGACACTTTGTCAAGCACCGATGAAATCGACCACACGCTCACACCATACTTTAGTTTAAAATGACCTCGTCACTTTAGTTGTAAGACTCCGTCTTATCTTCGGTTTTTTGCTACGCGCATTATTATCATCAATGACTTTTAATGCCATTTTACAATCGTACCGAACCTGATAAAATTTTGTCTAGTGTGCCGCGAGAGTGCATGGAAATTAGTACGAAACATTGTTGCATATTTACGCGCATACATACACATGAAGCAACATCCGACTCTCCAGACTATATAAGCTGAATGGAGTTTGATTAAAACGGCCAGTGTGTGAGTGAGTGTTTAAATTTAGATCATTGCAATTGCTCGCGACCCTAGTGAGACCGTAAATCATTCCTCTTTAGCAAAGACCAATCTTATATCTCGAAGTACGTTCGATTGGACACACCTGCACTTTATAAAGCCGGGTAAGATTTATATCTTGTACTTATGCAATATGCAATTAATTCTGTTATAAACGAATGGTTCTTTGTGAATTTCGACACAAATGCAATAAAATGTCGCTGGCGTTTATACTAAAAACTAGTCATTAAAATTCTGCTAATATCACAAACTTTTGGAAGATGGAAAAGGAGATAAATGTAGGTATATTCTTGCGACGTAAAATCGTCGACGATTCTGCAATTCTACAACACGCAATGTACGATAAAGGAATTCCGTGAACAAGGGCATTGACATAAGGTTAATAAGAAATGTCAAACGTGATCAACTTGTATAGCTGACCACTCAAAAATACAGCATTTGAAATCGTTTGATCTACTGACCCATCTCATTAAACTATAATCGTAAAGTATTATATATCAAGTATTAAACATTATATTAATAAATTATACACCAGTTCACACAGTATTCATGTTAGATAGATAATCTTAGTGATAAACTTTATTACAATCATGATGGTGTTGATACAAACAATATTATTTTTACATTCAGATTAACACGACATAGAAATATTTCGCGTGATATAAGTAATAATTAAACATATAAATGTATAAGCAACGTTATAAATTTATCACAAACTATATTGTTAAACTACTCACATTTTCATTGACATTTTTTTAGATTTTTTTTAAGGTGAATATAGATAAAATGAAAATATAATTAACACAGCGTATTTGGGCTCAAATAGTAACATAAAAGTTACTTTCTAATTGTGATATTATTTTACTTACTATGTGCGCATCTTCTCTACTTTTGTTAAAAAAATATATAAAACTACACAACATTTATGTAGCAACTACGATATTATTATTCGGGCAGGAGATCATCTCCAAGTTCCTCGTCACCAAAATCGTCGTCCCGTTTTCCAGCCGCTGTCATTGGACGTGTCGGGAGAGGTCCTATAGGATCTATGTAATTCGAACCTATAAAAGCAAATTAATTAAAATATGTCCGCAATTTTAACAATTTCAATGAATTATGTAATATAAGTTATGTAACCACGAATTTCAAGTTACACAGGAAATAGATTCATAATTCCAATAGCGTTTTTTATCCTCAATTCGCTTTACCTCACATACGTAGATCAGTCTAGCATTAAAAAAAATAGTCTGAACAATATCAAGATATTTTAAAACGTCATAAAGACATCTTTTAGACAATAAGACATCTAAAGAACGTCTTAAAGATATCTTTCAGACATACATATTATTTGGGAGAATACTTGTAATATGAGTTAATTAATAAAAATTATGCAAAATTGCATTGATCTTAGGCCTGCTCTACTCTCTCGAACAAGTTCTAAATATAAAAACAATAAGTGCTCTGACAATAAATATCTATCCCTAGATTCATAACTCGAATCGGTATCGTAACGGTTTGTCGAGTATCAATTGATAAAGAGAGAGTAAGAATAGACTAGTCAAAGAGGTTGCAGCCATCCATCATGTATTTAATCCATTAGAGTTCACGCGCTATCTGTAGATCACTCTAGCTGATGTTTGCTTTCAATAGAACTGTCTAATGCTAAATCACTATCAACTTCGTGGCTGTTATATTTTGCTCAAAGATTATAAAATATTAACAATGTATGAGCAATTTTAACAGAATTTACAAAAGTAACTCATTCAACAGAAATATCAATATATGAGAGTCGCGATTATATTATATAAAATTTATTTTTAATAAATTCTAATATACCTTGATAATCATTCCGATCTGTAATTGCTCGTCGATCTGGACTTGGCCTGCGATCTGACATTACACTCAATCCTGAACCAGCCCGCGATGATGTCCCGCTGTTACTTTTTCTAGATCCTGCATAAAATTCACGACCGAATTCTAGTTGAATGATGAATTAAAAAATAATGAATAATTTATATTTATAGGTACATATTCAATCGAAATAATATTTAAGCAGCAATTGAGTGGCGATGAAAAATAATTCATTAAATTTGCATGTATGTTCCAATAGTCCTAATTGTATATATAATACATGCATAATTCGATATTCGAATATTATTCTTGCCTTGTTAATTAAATTAATCGGATTTCTTAAACGTACCTGTCGTGCCTGGCCTTGCTGACCCTTGTCTATCTTTTAATTCTTTAGCTTTCTCAGCTTTCTTCAATTCAGCTGCATACGTCTGTGCTTCTTTCAAACCCAGGTCACTACATAGCCTAACTAAAAATTTCAGGCATTCTATGTTATCTGGAAATCTATTGTGAATATCTTGATACTCCGTGAGAGCTTTATGAAATTGACCAGTGCGTCTTAAGCACGCGGCAACCAGTAATCTCCATCTGGGTTCATCTGGTGCAAGTTCTACTGCTTTTTCGAAATACGTTAAGGCCTTTTCAGCAAGCTTGATGATAAAATTAAGAAAATAAATATATAGAAAATAAATTAAGAAAAAATATATATAGTGTTTTAAATTTATTATATGGAAAGCAATATAACATTAATGGTGAAACAATGTAGAAAAGTTAATATTATACCTGCATCGATATGAAATAAGATCCCAACCAATCTATCACTTCAAAATTAGCAGGAAAATATCTGTGAGACTGTAGCAAATGTACAATTAATGAATGCAAATAGAAATACTAATATACCAACCAGTTGAAGGAGGTAGGTTAATTAGTAACTGAGACACTCACGTCGCTATAAAATTGAAATGCCTGCTGCTTATCTCCCATTGAATCATACATTTCTCCTAACTTTTGCAAAACTCCAGGATCAGATGATATTATACCTAACAACTGATTATACCTACAACATTCAACACAAGATTTGAATTTACTATACGTATAAATCATTGCAAAACTATTGATATGTATAGCAATAGAAAGAAAACACATAAGTCAGTGATATGCGTAAGTCAGTTTAATTTAGCGAAATATACCATTCGGACGCTTGGTCGGCATCATTCATCAGCTGATATAAATGACCGATCTGATATAACGTTTCAGGATCATGTCTAACAATGTTACGAACTTTCCAAAAGCACTCTAAAGCTTCTTCGTACATGTTCTGTTTTTTGTAAACTAAACCTATGAGAAACGTATTACGTTAATGAACATGCAGAATTTGTGTAAGATAAAAATTATATTAACAAAATAATTACCTAAATTGTACAAAGCCTGTACATGACTAGCATCTGTTTCTAACGCGCATAATAGCAACTCCCTAGCAATATTAAATTCATCTTTTTTAATCGCACAAGCGGATAAATTAACATATGCTGCCGCATTATAAGCATCGGCATTACGAGCTGCTTCACCATATTTCTCAGCTTGATCGTAATCTCCTTGCTAAGAAAAAATTTTTTTTACAAACTCAAAGAATAGGCCAGCCATTTAACATTTCTAATTCTTTACTTACCAAATAGTAAATGAATGAAAGCATAGTTGCTGCTGCACTGTTAGCTTTAGTGTCGCGATTTTCAAATATTTTTAATGTATCTATAGCCAGTTGAGTGTCTCGATTAAGCAAAAATACCATGGCTTTGTTTATTTCTAAATCAGCAGCTAAGAAACTGTACGTCGAGGATTTTATGGCATCAACACACCTGAGAGAAACAAAGTTGCATACATATAAATCCGGATTAAATCTTTTTAATGACTGTATATATATAATTTTTATATATTTTAATTATATTTGAGATGTACCAAGCAAATCCAGCTGTAAGTGTATCTTCAATAACAGGTGCTATAAGTTTCGCTGCACAGAGTATAGTCTTCTCAGCTTCCAGCTTCATTTCCTTTTCTAGCTTTGACAATTCGTCATTTTTTATAACTTCATTCAATATATTAGATGCAGCGTCATCCTAAAAATAAATAAGACAATTTATATATGAATAAATATTTAAATATAATGTCACGGTTCTCTCCCCTCTCTCTCTCTCTCTCTCTCTCTCTCTCTCTCTCTCTCTCCCTTTCTCCCTCATATATATTCATACATAAATATAATATGAATATTTCTATTAGCATTTGAAAAAAGAAGCAAACAAAACAGAAAAATAATTTAATAGTACTGAATATTTGATGAAAAGAGACAATCGCCATAAACGTGTATGTGAATGTGGATTTTCATGTGGATTATGAACTGGCACAAACTGTGATATATAGCGGTGCAAGTGTCGACGATATCTTGTGAAATGTGTAGCTTTAGCGAGAAAAGTACAATCAGGACAAACTCACGGGATTTATACTGTATTTGTCTTCTTGATCTACGTTAAGTTGTACCTCTAGCAATTCAAAAAAAGCTCTTTTCATCTTATCACGATGAGATAACGCGAAATGACATAAAACGGCATGCAAACCCGCTTTAAATTCCGATCTTTCTCTCATCACCCATTCAAAACTGTTAGCTGCTTCTTCTAATCGACCCATTTGTACGAATAACATCGCCATGTTATGCATTATTTTTATTCTGCGAAATATTATTTGTTGGATTAATATCATTATTGTTAATAATATTATGCAGAATCAGTTTTTACGATAATTTTTGGTTGCAATCTGACCTATATGTTCACTTATATATTCACCTTAGATCTTTATGGACTGTTGGGGCTTGATCGAATGCCATCCTATACATTTTAATAGCCTGAGATAGTTGTCCCATTTTCACGTAAATATTACCCATGTTAACTTTGAGCCTGGCACTATTGCTAAACATTCTGTTCCTTGTTATGGCCTGATAAGTTGCTACAGCCTCTGTATACATTTCATTGTTCGTATATTGAATCGCTAAGTTAAATAACACCTATTGAGAAGTAAAATGGAAATTTGTGAAGAAACAATTTGTGAAGAAACAATTGTGACGAGAAATTATAACATCTTAGAGATCTTACAGCAAACGTCAAATCTATGTTATGATTATCACTGAGACCAGCCTGTTCCTGTAATCGTATAAGAGCTCTTTCTCTCGAGGAAGCTTCACGCGCGCGTTCTAAAGCAATCCTCATGTTGTTTTCTGAAGCTGACACGGCAGAGCTTTCTATCAGATTCATGATCTTCCTTTCTGTTGCTTTTATTTTTTCTTCTGGCCTTAAATAACAAGAAACATAGACATATTATACAAGACAGACTATTGCACTATCTTTCAATAATGCATAAATAGAATGTAAAAAGAAATATAATACAGTATGCAAATGGATATATTCATAAGTATAAAGTCTTACGTGTCTTCTTTATTAGTTTCCAATGGTGGTGCAGGAACTTTAGCACTGCTACTCATATTAAGAGGATCAAAAGCTTGTCTGCTACTGCTAGTATACCCAGCACTTCTGACTGCCGTCATAGGCCTAAGCCCAGCAGTCATAGGCTGCATAGATGTAGTAGTACCGCCTCTCTGGAACTGAAAAAGAAAAAACATGTGATACAATGTGGCAATAGTGACAAAATTATTATAATGTTAATTTTATAATTTATTGATATCATAATGTTAATTTTATAATTAACTTTAAAATGAATTATTATATATTTGTAACAGCTTACTTTGCTTGCGGTCCCAAATCGCATCGCGCTACCCGGTGTTTTTGGAGTAAACTATCAACAGACATTTATACATATTTTAACAATAATTAACTAATACTTGTTCAATTTTTTTTATTAGGAGAAAGAAATATGATAATGATAAATTATATATATATATAAGTTTGAGTGATGACAGTAGATTCTGTACAGTATATTTCTATTGGCCTCTATTCCTAATAAACATTATTTAAACACAGAGTGACTAATGATTACATATCATACTTACTATTGATCTTTTCGCATAGCTTGTCTTAACAACCTCCTGAAAAAGCTCATCCTCCTCGAGTTCCTTGATATTATACACCGACGGATAATCATTATATCCAGCATAAATATCATCCTCTATTCCTATTGGAGCCATGGTCTTCTATATTCTGTTATGTTATTCACTTTATATAAATTGTTTTTCAATGATTTTTATGTACACATAATACAAACATGACTCTTTATGATATTATCAATCGAAATATACTTTTGACACAAATAATTTAAATGAATTAAAATCAAAGAACAAACCTGTTTCTCTCTTTCTAGAGTATTTTAAATTATAATGTAACGAAAAAATGAAAGTTTTGATTACGTCTAACAGTGACAAGTAAAGATGACGTAAGTGAATCGATATTTGCGATTCCTTTCATTCTGCTAAAGGATCGATTATCTTCTCGATATTATTATTTCAGTTTTTGTTGTGTGTTTGACTCCTTATTTTTCATTAATATAATTCATCGTCAGGTCAGAGGAATTTTCCCCGTCAATAAAAAGAATTTATCGCATCTCTACTGAGTCGTAAAATTTGAAAATAAAAAGCGCTTGACCTGTCGTTGAGTCATACTACTCGATTTGTCGGTACAAACGGTGAAGGCTGGTTGGAATTATACTTTAAAACAGTAATAATCGATCCGCCAAGCCTGTTCAGTCGACCTCTCAGCAACAATAAATACACAGCGAATTCCACTTGTTGATATATTTTATTCATTAATATTTTTTCAGAGTATTCAAGAGCTGACCTTGAAACTGCTTTAATCAACAGCGCGTGCAACGTTGGCCGACGAGTTTCCACGGAGCGACGTAGCGCTCGAGGCGCCACCAACTACGTCCGCGGCAGCTGATTGGCGCACAGCCGTCTGACCACTAGCGCTCAAGAAGTTTCGAGAACAGTCACCAGCGGTAGCAGGGGGAGTCGTGGGCACCCAACGTAGTTCGTGAAGCGCTGTCGCGTGCATTTTGAGGGGAGCAAGCTAACGTCATACGAAGAATTTGCGCGGTCATCCTTGCGGAACAGGAACTCTCTCGTCTCACATCTTACACGAGGTAAGTCTTCACCGTTTGGCGTAACGCGAACCATCAATTTCCCATCGGCGGACCGACCGTCAATGGGCGAGCACGGACGGGCCGTCGAGTTGCGCGATCGATCGATCCACAGGCGTCTTCGCGATTTTTCTCCCGAGACAGCAGCAGTCCCGGTTGGCGTTCGGAGCGCACGAGGCGTAGACCCGTCTAGAACTTTTCCCCTCAGCCACACCGTTACTATATAGTCGCGTCGTGGCTCTCTTGGTGTAACTCAGCAGCGGACGGCCGAAGGTTGCGAAGATATATCCGTTGGTACGTGATGTATGCGTAAGTGTGAACGTTGGACGTTACGAAACGAAAATCGTCGGAAGTTGGATCGCGAAAGAGAGTGAGTAACCGCACTGGCGTTAATGCGATAATACGAGCCGCGATAATGCGAGCCGCTGCTTTAGAAAAATATGGTGGAGCTCGTGTGTAACCTGGCTGCTTTCCTGTCCGCCTGCACGCTCGCCCGACGCGTCAATTAATGTCCGCCGCCGGAACATCCGTGAGAGAAACGTGTGCGCGTTGATCGGCCGTGATCCGATCGCACGCTTTGTCCTCGTGATAGCGTCAAGTTGCGCCGTCGACTCGGTTATTCTGCATCAAAGAGGAAACCTCACGAACTATTTGGCAAGCGCTAAGCGCTTTATGCCGTTACAGCGATTGCCGCTCCGGTGGCCCGTCATGCGCTCGGATGTATTTATACAATAGTGGAAGGATCTAGAAAGCGCGCGGACGTCTTTATTCGCGAGCTGACGGCGCTATGCGCCACGATAAAATTGCACTTTCATTTCGCTTTTCGCTAATCTATTTAATGTTACAACTTTTAGCCCCACCGCAGACGCCATTTTGAAACTCGCAAATCCACATGGATGTATTATAATCGTCAGATTTACGGGCGACTCCGCGATTTTAACGTCGGCTGTGTTACATTTGCCACAGATCGCGCGAAAAAAGCTCCCGCACTCCTGCCGTTTCGGAAAACTTTCCGAGTGTCTCGCCGTAGATGATGAAATAAACATTTCGTTTCTGCAATTGCTCTATTTTCGCACTTTCGATAAATATCGTTTTTCCTGTTAAATATAGTGATGACGAAAGCTCAATCTGAAATTCAAGGTCATCAAGTCGGAAGTTTCGTTTTACCCAAGTCCTATGCCGTACTATAGAAGATAATCCGAACAGTTATTTGTCCATATAACGCCCTCTTTCTTCTTTATTCTCTAGGAGTTTTTAACCTGGAATACGTGGACACACACAGGTAGAACGTGAACTTGGATGGACGAAAAATATAGTCCTCACAATAATTTCTGACTAAAAAAATGTATAAAAATAAATTTTTCAGATTTATCTTTTCAGTGTTTAATAATACGTGTAACTGCATTTCAATGTAGTCAATTTCTTTTGTAATTCTGTGTTTTTCATGTGTTCTATCAATATATAATTATTAAGTAATACATAATTATTAATATATAAATATTAATATTTATAAATACATAATTTTATAAAAGAGTCCATGAAGAAAAGATTAAGAATTTTTTATCTTTAACGTCATACTGAATGATATAACTGATTCGTTGAATATATCATTTGTGTGTATCATGATCTCATTATACTTGAGCTTGTATGTGCCACACAATGATATCTGTTACCGGTGTACGAGAATGATGCATTCAGTTAAAACTTTATGAATTACTATGACCCAAACTTGGCTAGCTGCTACATAATCGAATACAGTTTTTGATCACATGCGTAAATCTCTTTGCTGTTGCAACATAAATTATTATTTTGTCATCATATTAAATCAAGTTTATACATTGTTTGAAGGATTGTCGATAGATTATGGAATAGCTGTATTGGACACTAATAGATAATACATTTGTATATATTTTTTAACAAATATAAAGCGTATACTTTAAGTACTCATTGATAAGGAAAGTTGTATACCATGTGTATGTACAAATACTTATGTTATTTCTACTTTGCACAGAGTCATTTAAGCAATATCCAATGAAAACCTATGAATGGAATATCCGTTTTCTAACTAATTGGAAAATTATTACAAATAATTAAAAATAAATCAATAAATATTACCTTATAAATAAATACATTAAAAATAGTATATAGAAATACAGGAAGATATATTGCATCTATATAATGTTAAACGTTTTACATTTCACATAAATTAACATTTCAGATCTGTTAAATCGTTCTTAATCAGTGCTGTTTTAAAGAAATAAAGTTTTATCACAGATCAACTGAGTCACCTATACTTTGTACAAGGTCATTCAAATATTATTTCCAATGATTTTCTAATTAATACCGTTTCCAAACGAATAGACACACAGTTTTATTATTTATATACACATACCAAAAATATATATACATGTATATATAATATCATGTATTAGTTTATTTGTAATGATTAGCATAAAAAATTGAAAGATTTTGTGCAATCTTTATTTTTACTTTGTCTCGTTAACAGGAGCAGTTTTAGCATAATACAAGTTATTTAATATAAAAGGGACTTCAATACGCCGTAAGAATGGTGAAGGAGACTACATTTTATGACGTGTTGGGCGTGAAGCCTGGATGTACACAGGAAGACTTGAAGAAGGCCTACAGGAAGCTGGCTTTGAAATATCATCCTGACAAGAATCCTAATGAAGGCGAAAGGGTTTGTGTCAATCTTAATTTGAAGCAGCTGGCAATAATTTTGATATTATATTCATTATCATCTTATAATTGTTTATAATAAAAGTTATAAACAAATGGAATATTTACGAAATATTTCGCGTTGTTTGTTTCAGTTTAAGCAAATATCTCAAGCGTACGAAGTACTGTCGAATCCTGAGAAGAAACGTATTTATGATCAAGGTGGCGAGCAAGCTTTAAAAGAAGGTGGTATGGGCAATAGTGGTTTTTCATCTCCAATGGATATCTTCGATATGTTCTTTGGCGGAGGATTTGGACGAGGTCGAGCAAGAAGAGAACGTAGAGGTCAAGATGTCATTCATCAATTATCGGTCTCCCTGGAAGAACTGTACAAGGGAACTGTGCGTAAACTCGCTTTGCAAAAGAATGTCATTTGCGAAAAGTGCGAAGGTAAATGTCGTTCGGAAGTTATAATTGCGAAGAAGGACCGTCCCAACACGCAGAAATGAGACGATTTTCTATTGCTTTTGCATCTTTCTTAGGTGTTGGTGGAAAGAAGGGCTCCGTTGAACAGTGCTCTACATGTCATGGTTCCGGACTGCAAGTACAAATCCAGCAATTAGGTCCGGGAATGTTGCAACATTTACAAACTATGTGTTCAGACTGCAAAGGTCAAGGTGAACGTATCAATCCTCGTGATCGTTGCAAGCATTGCAACGGAAGAAAAACTATTAGAGATAGAAAAATTCTTGAAGTTCATGTCGATCCGGGAATGGTTGACGGTCAGAGGATCACTTTTACTGGTGAAGGCGATCAGGAACCGGACTTAGAACCCGGTGACATAGTTATCCTACTTGAGGAAAAGGAGCATGAAGTATTTAAGTTAGTATCGCCATAACTGAGAACGAATGCGCTGTAATTCGCTGTTTATTGCGTAACCTCATCACTAGTATAATACTACTAATGTATTTCTATGGATTATCTTCCAGGCGTTCAAGGAACGATTTGATAATGAGAATGCAATTGGAACTGGTGGAGGCATTATGTGGATTCCAAAAAGTTATCCGTACATTGGACGGTAGAGATCTTGTGATAACTTCGCTGCCTGGCACCGTTACGAAACATGGCGACTTGAAGTGCATCTTGAACGAAGGCATGCCGATTTACAAGGATCCGTTTACACATGGCAGACTTATAATACAATTCATAGTCAATTTCCCGAAGAACATTGACCCGTCGGTCATCCCGACGTTGGAGCAATGTCTGCCGCCGAGAGAAGAAGTTGTAATACCGAACGGTGCTGAAGAGTGCATACTCACCGATTTGGATCCTGAACAGGAAGCGAGGCGAAGGGACACGAGACAAGCATATGAGGAGGATGAAGGAGGCCCGTCGCGAGTCCAATGTGCCACGCATTAATTTGATTACACTAACCCTGTAATAAACATAGCCATTTCTTTCATTTTTGTCCCATTCGCTCGACTCCGTGTCATGCTAAAGAAAGAAATAATATAGCTGGATATATAGGCGAACCGCTCAACGAGATAGAAGGAAGCAAAAGAAAAAACTGAGGACTGTCCGATTCCGCGAATACGCGCAGGGCTATGGGAATATTGCAGCTACCGTATTCTCGATGACCCTTACGCGAAGAGAGATCTTGAAGGTAGATGACCATTGTCACGAAACTATGAGAATCTGGTACTGTGCTGGAAGTATAATGAAAGTACATTGTAAATTCTGGCGAAGAGCATCTCAATGGCATCCATTAGTTTCGCTTAAGTAGAAGATCATTAAGAGCGTGTACTTATCATTACACACAGCGGTAAGAAAATTTCAATTTATTTAACAATCTAACATAAAGAAAAAGAAACGAACATTATATGATGTCGATCGTAAATTACACAGCATAATGAAAATTCGTCGTGTATTTCGAACATCGCGATTACTCTCTGCTATTTGACCAATTATATCGCCCCAATAATCAGCTAGCAGCTCAGCAGTGATTACTACGTGGTTAAGCATAGCGTTAAAACCATATATGTATATTTAGTTAAAATTCGTGGGTTGTCTATGTACACAATTTTTTCTGGCCTTCCAGGTTAGTAGTAGCACTCAATTATTCCAAAATCTTAAGATCCAAAAATCGTTATCTTTTACAGTTTTCTAGAACTTGAAAATAACATCTGGGATGTATCAATGTGAAAAAACGGTATAAATTACGTTTGATTATCAAGCGATAATATGACGTTATCCGTTATATTAGAGATCTCAAAACTCTTCACAAAGTGGGACATTATTCCATATTCATAGTATTTAATTTCTTTTCCAAGTCGCTTTTATATACTGGCGTGTGACGATAATAACAGAAATATATGATTTTGTTTGCGAATAATGCAAATAAAATGAAGAATCAGGTTCCTGTATGTGTGTGGACGATTGCGCGTATTCGTAAGCAGCTCTGTGCAATTTTTTGTCGTTGAATATCGAACGATTTTTCTTTCACCCCCTCACCAATGTATTGTACATCCAAGTAAAAGCGATAATAGTGAAATTAGGAAATCTTTAAATGAATTTGAGTTAAAATTAGAAGATTTACGGAAGGATCTTTTAATAATTATGGATTATTTTTGAGAATTTGCTAGTTTCATTTTACCGTAACCCTATGATTAACGCGCATGAACGAATGCTATAGATGATCCTTAGTTCTTGTACTATATTAAATTAATATACTCTCGATATACATTCACACATTATTTACTGTATACGAGGTCGTGTACTCGTCCGCGGTTACTATAGCGAATTTTAATAAATAGCCCTATATGTCTCTTGTAATCTTATTTATTATAGAAAAAAAAATGGTGATTAGTATCCTTTTTTGAGCGTCTCAAATAAATTTGAAACTGTACAACGTTGTGAAATGATCGATTTCGAGACCTTGCGAGACTAAATCTACAATCCCGTTCTCATCGTCCGTATACACTTTCGTTTCGCGTAATTTTCCCTCCGTAATTTTACTTCCTACCTCCTATCGTTTCTCCGCGAGTGAACGCAATTTAATTGCGTAATCATGTAGTGTTACATTATTCAATTTGTGGTCAGTTTCACCGATGCCAATTAATTTCAACCGCGGTCTCGGCTCTTTCCGGCTTTTTGCTTCAGCGAGGAAAAATAAACCACGACTGAATTTGGCTTTTAACCATATATATGTGTGTATATATATATATTTATTTTTTCCTTGTACAAGATAATAAATATATGATCACGAAAGAAGAAGAAGAAGCGAAATCGGAAATGCGGGACATGTCGGCGCGACATTGTAACATTTGCGACGAGAGAATTTCATGCCGTTGCGCAAGAGAAAGCGGGGGGAGGGACGGAGAAAATCAGATATCGGGTTTAGTAAGTGCGCAAATGTCAACCGCGGAGTTAACGCGCGGCTCCGCCGACGGATAGCGGCACCGTCGCCAACGAGGGTCGATGTTTTCAGCGACGTGTTTAGTGGCGTGTGCGAGTGGCCGCGAGCCAGCCAGCCGTCGGGATGCCGCAGAGGTTTCTGGGTATGCGGTGGGAGCCATATTTTTCCAATATCAGTTACGTATAAACGTAGCGCGTACGCACAGGTATCTGGTAAGGCAACGGCATCTCGAACGGCGTGCCGCGCGGTGTCCGTGTCCCGCCGGCAGAGAGTGAACGCGCGCGTACGATCGCAGGACGTCGAAGGATCGGCGCGCGAGACGTTATCGGAGCGTCGCGCGCGGCCGCCGGTTGTCACGAAATATAATAATCGGCCGACGTATGTAGGATCCGCGAGCGAGCGAGAAGCGAGACAGCGGCGAGAGAGAAGCGGAGCGCGCAGGTGTTCGGCTCGGCCGAAGAGGGTTAGTTAACTTAGCCCGAGTTCGCAACCGCGCTAGTAGTAGTGGTGTTGCTGCTGGTGGTGGTGGTATCGTTGATAGTAGTAGTGTGGAGTGGTCACGCTGGTAGTGGTGGTGGCACGAGGCAGTGGTGGTGGTGGTGGTAGTGGTGGTGGTGGTGATGCTGCTGCTGCTGCTGTGACGATGACACAGCGTCATAACACGACGCTCGTCCGTCCGTGCGCGATTTAACCCGAATCGTTACGCCAACGGCGTAAAGTGTGTTTTTTGTACGGCGAGCGCGTTCGCGCCATATTACCGATCGAGCCGACTACAGACGACTTGAGCCGAGCCATCCCGCCGAGTAGTTGAGTGCGATTAACCGCGTAGTACGCAGTCAGTGTCGAGGGAGATGGCTCGCCGCCCGTCCGCCGTGTAAGAATCGTGTTTGCGTGACGTTTCCCCCCCTTTTTTTTCCCTCTCTCTTTCTCTCTCTCTCTTTCTCTCTCTCCTCCACGTCTCTTTCGGCGATAGTGTGATCGCGCTGCCTACACGATGACATAACCGTGTCCGTCCGTTGTCGGAGTGTAACGCGTCTCGGTCGGGACGAGGTGACCGTGAATGTAAAACGCGAGTTGGACCGTGGCATTGACACGACCTACTGCTACCACCGCTGTTCTCTCTCTCTCTCTCTCTCTCTGGTGTTGACTTCTTCCCCGCGACATATTCTACCGAGTCGTGTACCGTGCAGTGTGCGACCTTCGCTCCGATTTCGTCGCGACGCAGTTCGTCCGCCGGTAGGAGCGCGTGTGTTGCTATCTGGAATCTTCGCCTCGTTGATTTCGCGAACGGACCGTCACCTTCTCGATCGGATCATCGTCCGCCGACATGGTAGGCGAGTCGCGACTCGGCGGAACGCAACGCTCGCGCCAAAGAGAGGAGTCGTCCGCGCCGAGGGACGCTGAGTCGGCGAGACGGTACCTCTGAGAGGAGAAGAGCCGGTCGGATGGCGGCGTCTCGAATCGCGTTCGCGTGTCCCGCGACATTTTGACAAGCCTCGCACACGCTCGGAAGAAGAGGGAAAGGAGGAAGGATCGCGCCATGCCCGGCGATCCCCGCCGCGTCAAGGAGGTTAGACGGCCATTGACCGGCGAGCTGCGGCAGCGTGTACTACGCGCGCCAAACACGCGCCGGCTCTGAGACGCGGACGACTGCCATTATCCGCATCGGTCTCCGCCGGCGATACACAGTATTCACGTGGTCGGTGTATTATGTCGCGCTACGAGTGTCGGGAAGAGAACGGGAGGCACGGGGAGCGCGCGACCCGCTCACCATCCCGCCGTGCCCGCTGGACGGTGCCGAGCGCGTAAGGATCGTGCAGCCGCTCGGAGGATGCGGAAGTACCATTACCCGCGTAGGCGAGCTACGTGCCACGTCGTGCCAGTGATGTTGTCGTGGGTGTCGTCGGGGTCATCCGCAGCGCTGCTGGACCATGGCCGGCAAGCCTGAGCAGCCGTCCACGCTCCCTGCTCCCCCGAATCACGGCCATCATCACCAGCATCATCATCCGCAGCAGCAATCGGTGGTACAGCAACAACAGCAGCAACAGCAGCAGGCTATACAGCAGAACAGCGTTCTGGTGTACGTGTCGGGGGAGAACTTCGCGTACGCCACGGCGGTGGGTCAGAATGTCGCCGCGACCGCTGCTGCCGCTATCGCGGTCGGTTATCAGTCACCGCAGCAGACGACGTACACCGGCATCCTGCAGACGCCGCAGGTGGCGACGGCGGCGGCGACGTTTCCCGCCAAAACCGCCGTATACTGCGACGGCGGCGGGGTCGTAGGGAACAACGGCAGCGCTGGTGCCTGTTGCCGTCTGAAGCAGCCGTCCTCGCTGGAGTACACGGACGGCGATGAGTCCAGGCGGGCGGCGTCCTCCTTAGCCGGCAACGAGGACGAGGAGGACTACGCGACGATCCTCTATCGCCAGGCGAGCCTGGGGCAATCGGCGACGACGTGCGCGGCCACGACGACGGTGATGATGACGCGCGTCGCGCCGTCGCGGGAGAACAAGCTGGAGAACGACTCGGACCTCTCGACGTCCGTGAAGACGTATCAGCGGCTTCACCACGCTGACGCGTACCCGCGAATCAACGCCGACTACAGCACGCCCGGTAGAATCGTCGCGCGTGCGAATCCCCCCGATGGAGGCTGCGTCGGCCTCGAAGACGTCGCGTACGCCCCGGGCAACGGCGTCGTTCTTCAGAACGAGCAACAGGCGACGAGCGTAGCGGTGGACGAGGGTGGCAAAGCCCGGCAGGACAGTTTCGACAGCCAGACCGCCGCCTCCTCGTTGACGGTCGGCGTTAGTGACGGTGGTGGTGGTGTTAGTGCCGACTCGGTGAGGTCCGACACCGGCGGCGAATCGTCGACGACGACCTACGGTAGCCTCGGCAGCCCCGAGAGTCATCTTCATCATCAGCCGGGACAGGACGGTCTAACGGCGAACAATCATCATCCTGGCGGCGCGGCGTGCGCGCAGCAGGCTGTGCGACAGCAGCCGTCGCGTGTTAACAATAACGGTGGTAACAGTGCGCAACATAACGTGGTGTTGACTATGAACGGCGGTGGTGCGGTGGTTACGCAGCAGCAGCAGCAGTCGTCGTCGCAGCAGCAACAGTCGGCGATCAGCGTGCCACGTGGCTGGAAAAGGATATGCACCAACGGGGTCATCATTTATATCAGGTTAGCTTTCCATGTGCCGTCGTTGCTTTTTCTCATAGCGGAAACGTGAAGAGAGTTTCTCTCACTTGAACCCGTGAAAAATGTCATTTCTTGCATTCGAGAACATTTGGAAGTGTCCACTTCTCTCGCGTTTCGCATTGGGAAAACGTTGCTGCATGATCGTTGACCAGACTCGAAATATTATCACGGCTTAAGCCTTCGTTAGTCGCAATATCTGTCACCTATGAATGGTTGCAATTAGTCTGTTCTCTGTAGCCGAACGGGCCGCGCCAGATCGAGAAATTTACATTCACGTTGAAGCGTACGTAGAAAATTCTCATGCTTCAGTGTGCGTAAATTTTTTGAACTAGCGCAGGCAGTCCAGCTACAGGGAATAGACCAAATATATTTCACACAGATACACTAACTTTTTTTTTCTATTATTTTCTTCTACTTCATGAAACGATTTTTCCTTTCATCAGTACTTGGCTATAAACTAGGCGCCAAAGCGTACATGAAAACAATGTAGAACAAATTGACAAGTATTAGGATAGTATTTATTAAATATTACGACTAACGGATTAAGTAATAAACACGTGACACGGTGAAGTAAATAACGTGTGAACGCATATGTTGTGAAACTACTTATGCAGAATTACTAATTAACGTGTATTTAAATGGGAATTATGCAAATTTCTCCGTGATATTATCTCCAGTGCCGGCAAACATTTCTCCTCTATGACGCACTTTCGTAAATTTTTCATAATGTTTTTATGGTACTTCTTATCGGAATTTATTCGCGTAATATTTCTCAACTTGTATTACTTTATCACTTTTATCTTGTCAATTTTAATTATGACAATGCTGGTAACCACTGTTCAGTTTAATGCTTGGCGTAACATATACAAGCCCAAAACGTTGCGCGTCGATTTCTCAGAACGGAGAAATTCCTTGACACCCTCGCGCGTCGCCGCCGCGTCCTCCTTATTTACTCCCGTCTCACGAAAATCGTCTCGAACGTACGAGTTAATTCTCGAGCGGGACCGCATTAGTGGCGCTTTTAATTCGTCGGTTTAACGAAGTGGCTCGCAGCATCGACCCGAAATTAAAGCGCGCGTGGCGTGCTGCCTTAATTTCGCTAATGGAATTAAGTCCAGTTTAAGCGAGTCTTCGTCGCGAAAACGCGGCATCGAGACTCCGGTATGAATTGACGTATCGCGAGAATTAATCGAGCTACGATATTACCAAACACGAGGAAAAAAGAAAAATAAATCACACACGTCGGGTTGAATTGGCGTCGCGAAATTGCGCGCCTTTAAAAGCCAATTTACTCGAAACTACTACTTGACGGGTTAACTCATTTTCATCCATCACCGTCCAATTTCGGTGAACTTCGATTTCTCGATGTCGCAATCACGCGAGCATGATCTCGTCTACGTCTGCTCACGACGATGGAGATGTGACGATTGAGGTAAGCTGCATTTCCCGTATCTATAGTACGGCGACGTGATTTCACCGAGAGATTACTCAGCGGTCTCTCCGCCGATCGAAAGTTCCCGATGCACAAGCGGCCGCTTCTCGTTATCGATTAAAACGCGAGACGCGCCTCGAGCGGAAGCGACGCGTTATTTGTTTCACGCTTATACGCGCCTCGAAATAGCGCACAACGCTCGGAGAGTGCGGAGAACGTGCGCTGCCGTCGTCTAAGTTTAGACCGTCAGCTGTTCGCAGAGGTCTTAAAAGGGCTGCGGGGCGCGCGAGAAGCCCTTTTGACTCTTTGTAATCCTGCGCGTCGCTCGTATAAAAAAAAACGCGCGCGACTTTTCTGGAAGCCAAAAGTCACGGCTTTACATCACCCCCGTGCCACTTCCCTGACTAGCCACCCCCGCATTTTCCATCGCGTGGAAAACGAAGGCGCCTTCCTACTAAACCCTCATTGTGCTTTTATGGCTCCTTTGAAAGATCTGTTCGGGAGGTCACTTTCATCTCGCTCCTTTTCGCTCTCTCGCTCCGCGTTCCTTTTTACGACTACCTTCATCGAGACGCGCTACGTGCTCGGCCGCAGCTTCTGCGCAACGCATGGAAGGCAAAAAGCACATTTGCTCAGGATACTTAAGCCGGAAAAATATTGTTCTTCGACACGAGACTGGCAAATTGGAGGTGAACCGCAAAGCATCAATGCGTGTGAAATCTTCAACAGAGAAGAGTCATAAGCGCCCTTTTTCTGTCTACTTAGGACCCTCTTTAGTGACCGAGATGTTTCCTGTCATTCGCCTTTTCTCGAGTCATTGCAGATCTGACGCACGTCGACACCTTGCGGTTTTGCTTCAATTGACTTTTCGTTACTTTTACCTGATTTGGATAACAAAAGTTAAAGTGGTCGAGTATCCGCTAAACTGAACAACTCAGGTCTTTTAGTTATTCTTAACCCTTAGAACCACGCATCTGACGCCTTCGTCACGTGCGAACAGCGTCTAACGTCCAACGCTCAACTCATACTGCGCAGAAAAAAAATGCTAGAATCAAGTAAACGTAATTGTTTTTCAGCCTTTTAAATCAAGCAATATTTTTATCAATTTAAATATACTTATACGAAGGGAATATCATATTGTACATGGTCAATTATATTTCTAATAAATATTTGCCAAGAAATATTAATCATTTTACTCGAATCGAATAAATGTGACTTGGATGTAATACTTTTTTTTTCAGTATATATGCGAGTAGTGTTTTTAGACGTCTTTATTAGTTAACGTCGTAACACGCGGAAATGCCGCATCGTAACGACTAGCGTTAAATCCACGACGTACACAACGATTGTCTCAGTTTTGAATAGCTCACGCGATTTAAATATTAAAATATATATATTTATTATTTATCTCGTGATAAGCTTGATATTTCGATCAGATCGTGCGTTCCAAGACGTCGCATTGAGAGTGAATCGAGCGATTTTCCTCGAAGGTAAAACGGAGAAGCGCGATTGGAAGGAACATTTATCCTTGACGATCACGTAATATGATTTCGTAGGGATCGGCCGGGATCAGTTACAAGAGGAAGCGTCCTTTTGTGTGCGGCGAAAGGAACGCTTAATTCTTTCAGGGCCCTGCGAAGCGCAAAGGGCAACGCCTCGTGGCGTAACCGTAGTTCAACGACGTAGGAGATCTGACCTGGTCTGTCCCAAACCTTCTTAAAACGATCCTTTCGGGACTGACCAGAAGTCACGCTTTAAAAGACGTTTAAAGGGCCCGAACAAATAACGCTTTGCCTTGTGCTAATCCGACTGGTTGTTCGGCTTTCTTCTTCGCTTCGTAGTTCCTCTTTGTACCGAATCGGATAACCGCACGGTCACTCTTCCGCTCCTCTCTTCAGTCTCATCCTAGTCCTCTCACGCTCGAGATGCCACACGAGTTCCTTTCGCGTCTCCCATTCGCCGATTACTTCGCCTTCGTACGATCAAAAGTGAAACACGGCGGTTCAACGCAGGGATAAATCGACCAACGTGCATGAAATATAAAAGAATGATTCATACGTATATATTATATACTCGAACTCAGCGAGACACTCTATATTCTGCGCAGTTATGCGCAACTTCGATTTACGTTCGACTCACCTGTTCTTGCGTAAGCCGGTATTAGCACTTCATTTTTAGCACCGTAAGATTTGACACACGCTCTACTTGCGATTATTTTACAGTTCTCGATCTTGCGATTATAGCAACAGTTTCGTCGAATTAATTGTCAAAAATGAGATGCCATCTCCACAACTTAATATTGGACACTGTGATAAAATCCGCACGGTATCTGTCGCGGGCCGCGAAGGGATCGTAAGGGTTCGATCTTCCGACATTCTCCTTGCTCAGGGAGGCTTGCTCGCGAGAAGATTCCATCCCGTCATCGATTTCGTCGAAGAGGACGGACGGCGTGCTTTCCTCACGCGTTGGTAAGGGATGCGGGGAAAGGGGAGCATATATATACAGGAAGGGAAAAGGAATTTCGTTGAATCGCGCAGCTCGTGCGATCATTGATTTACGGTGGTACGTCGTAAATACCGTCGGTGATGTACGATCATGACCGCGTCCCCTCCTACCGTCGCCACGATCTCCTGCCCTTTCCTCTTTCCCTGGTCCGGCCGGCTTCTTCTTCCCTCATCCTTTACTACCGACATTTTCTTTACGGACCTCTTCTTGATTTATAACACCCACCGGCCCCTTGTCTCTACGTACATACATACTTCCTAGAACGCTTGGATTTTTACCCCAATGTGCTGACCATCCCAGACGTCTCCGCCTTGTCGTCTGTCCCATGACACGAACAAAAAAAAAAAGGCCTGCGACGAATCTTTTTTTCCTCCTTTTCGACCTATTTTTCGGTTAAACCGACAATCATCGGCTGTCCCCATTGTATCGATTTCTTAAAAATGTAGACTAGTTTCTCGTAACGAAACAGCGAACGGCATTCTTCTTGGATCCTTCGGCTTACCACGATTCCGATTATGGCGAAGGGGGACGTAAGAACAGAAGGAACGTGAGGCAGATTTAGCTCTCGGAGATTTACTCGGGTTACTCTCGGAATCACGCTATTACTTCCGCCGAGCTTCTCTGAATATTCATCGGGATACTTGCTTCGTATACTTGTCGTGGCTAAATGGCTCTCTATGAGATCTTAATTGCACAAGGATCGAGGGTAATCTTAATTGAGAATTTATACAGCGTAAGGAAAAAATACGTGCGAGCGTTAAACATGAATGCGAAACCTTGTGATGCTCTTTATGTTTTATCATAAAACGCATCGAGTATTTTATACGCAAACTTGGCTCGATTAAATCACCTGAGTTTATAAATCAACCTTTTCATACGTCTATACCTAAAATACGTGAGATATAAATACATTTCTCTCATATCCAGCTGTAATTATTTTTTCATTAGTGCAGGTAGTGCAAAGGTTATTTTTTTAATTGACATGCAATTAATTTTTTAGTAAGTTAAGTACACTTGTACATTCGACATGTGTCGCTGAATGATA